CTCCGAGCAAGCTTGCTTTGTGTCCACTGTCTTTTTGAAACCTTTCTCTTTAAAAACTTGCCGCCAACACTTCAACTTCTCAGCCAAGGAGAAGTCTCTAGGGAACCCAGCAATGCAGTTGTGTTCGTGGGCCACGTTTCTGGCTTCCTCCAGAGTGAGGCCTGCGTAGATGTAGCAGTTCGAGTGCTGGAAGGTGGAAACCTTTGAAAACGAATACCGCAGTTGATCCCGAGCTTCGCGTGTGTGCCCTCCGCCCAACACAAAAACTTTGTAACCACCGGACAACAATCTCTGCTCGTCAACTGCGTCAACAGTATTTGCTTCTCCCGGGTCGATTAGACTAACAAGAGTCTGAGGAGCTCGCACGTATGTGGAAGGAGTTAGAAGAGATTGCTTCTAAAAAAGTATTAGAGAACTCCTTTCGTCTCCACATGGACTGTTTGCACAGACCGCCTGAGAACCTACAGGGCCAGAGACCCCTCGAGATCCGTTCGCTGAACGAGGTACATGCAAACAATCATCGCTTCGCTCAAGAAGAACCACCAAAAAGGGTTCTTCTTGAGCGAAGCGATGATTGTTTGCACATGTACCTCGTTCGGCGCATGGATCTCGAGGGGTCTCTGACCCTGCAAGTTCTCAGGCGGTTTGTGTAAACAGTCTAAGAGGAGACGAAAGGAGTTCTCTGATACCTTTTTAGAAGCAATCTCTTCTAATTCCTTCCATATATGTGCGAGTTCCTCAGACTCCTCATCTTCAGCGAACTCCGTCGGCAAATGCAGGTTTTGTTGAGCATTCCCCTTGCGTTTCGAGGACGTCGATGACTTCGCCAAGATCTTCACTTTTTTCTTCTTTATCCCTGAACTTGTGTCTGCTGCGCCCACTGGTTGCGATGGAGTGGTATGCGACGCTTCTGGCTTCCTCTTCGAAACCCCAGTAGGCATCGTGAAGGGCTTTCCCTTCGCTTTTGTCGAACCACAACCACCACCCTTTCTCACAAAAGCGAGGAGACGTTCTTGAAGATTGGGAAAACACTACTTTCCGTTGACGAGGTGGTAGAATTCGTGTACAAGCCAAAAACAATATTTCCCTTAACATTGTAAGGGTTCCATACTTTACAGTTTAAGTCCTAAAACAAAAAACATAGAGCCTGCGTACACAGTCAACCATTTGCAGAGTCCTAGAAACTGTGAACACAGAAGCCGCGTACACAGCGAACAGTTTGCAGACTTGGAAGTTTATAGTTCTATAAACTACAAACACAAAAGTTGTGCACACAACGAACCGTTTGTAGACTTTGAGGTTTGTAGGCCTAAAAACTGCGACAATGTCATGTGTCGCCCGGCTCGTTCCCTTAACTGCATAAATAAAAGTCGAAGTCCGTAGGATGGCAGATCCCCTAGTCCACAACAATGTCTGGATCAACATTTCGTCCAGGATCGAAGCCCTCGCAACAGTTTGTGAAGGAAGCGGAGGTTGGGCATCAATACATCCGGCAATGGCTGAAAAGAAAGAGGTGAAGCACAAGGAAGCATGCGGTAATGTGAAGGTCATTGAGACCGATATGTTGGAACTGACGAATCATCAAAATGCGTCGTCTTTGTGAAACGCTTCTCTACAAAATGATGCGCGGGGTCCGACGCAACTGAAACTGATCTTGTGCAGCCGCATACGTGTAGCATAGATTATTTGTCAGAGTCTGGAGGGCATCTGAGCCAAGGTTGTTTTTAACATGTCGGACAGTGTCATGTGCCGGCCGGGTCGTTCCCTTGACACCAACGTGACTGCATACAGAAAGGTCGAAGTCAGTAGGATGGCAGATCCTCTTGTCCACAACAGCGTGAAGAGTATGCTTCGATCTTTCAACACATTCCTTGCGGTACCCAGCCGTGTGGATGACCGAGTCGGGTTGTGCAAAGATTAATTCAGAGCTCCCCAAGTCCACCATTTTTCCCGCAACAAGAGCTGAGATGAAGATTTGCAATCATCCCTATTCCTACGACGAACAACAAACGTTTGTAGAGAAGGGTTTCAAAAAGACGATGGACGACAAGCATTTGTAGAGAAAGTTTTGTAAACTGTAGTCAGATCTGTGGCCTCAAGATTTGCAGCGGCTCAATCCTATATCTCACAATGCAGAGCTCTACAAATGTCAGGCTAACGTGACATGCGAGTATTTCTCGCAAGTCGTCCCTTAACAGTGAGCCCAGTATGCCTCTGGGTGCTGCAGAGAGAACAGCCTCAGCCATCATCGTCTCAATTACATTTGAATGAAATTGCACATTCTCCATGCAGTACTCAATGCTCACTTTGCTCCACTCGTGGAATGACGTCGAATCAAATACCAAAACTTTGATCATTGCTTCCACTGCCGTGCTCACCAATTCCTCAGCATGCCTTTGGATCGTCACTTTTAGCAGCCGACCAAATTCACAGGCATTAACCATACTTGAAACAAGCAGTTGGATCCTCTGGCATAGGAGATCAATCTGGTACTGCTTTGTAGAGAAGGGTTTCAAAAAGACCACGGACGACAAGCATTTGTAGAGAAGGGTTACAAAAAGTCGACGGACGACAAACATTTGCAGAGAAGGGTTTCAAAAAGACGACGGACGACAAACACTTGTCGAGAAGGCTTTTAAAAAGACGATGGACGACAAATGTTTGTAGCGAAGGGTTTGAAAAAGACAATGGACGGCAAAAGACGACGAACGACAAGCGTCGAAGCTGCTGCTGTAAGTTTGGTGGGGAGGCAAAACACTCTTGCTCAAGTCCAAGACCGGGAGTGAAGCCGACTTCTTAAAGGTATTTTGGAAAGCCACAAAGATCCTGTACGGGAAGTTTGAGAACAAAGTTGGCTGGGCGTCACTCGCCACACTTGTTATTTATGTTACTGGTTGAAACAGTGGTTTCTCTTTTGAGTGTTTGTAGAGAAGAGTTTCTAAAAGACGACGGGCATAAAGCAAGCTTATTCGGAGGAACTCGGTCTCAGACATAAAAAGAAGCAGTTCCAAAAAACTGATCCGTTGCTGTAGGCCGCAATGCACTCCAAAGAGGTTTGTAAACTGCAGCAAGCGTTTGTAGAGAAGGGTTTTAAAAAGATAACGAGTGAGAAACGTTTGTAGAGAAGGGTTTCAAAAAGACGACGGACGACAAACATTTGTAGAGAAAGGTTTCAAAAAGACGATGGACGACAAGCGTTTGTAGAGAAGGGTTTGAAAAAGACGACGGGCGGCAAGTGTTTGTAGAGAAGGGCGACAATGATTTAAATGCAATACTTGGCAGCAGTGGAGATGAAGAGGAGGAGGAGGAGGAGGAGGAGGAAGAGGATGAAGAGGATGGAGAGGATAGAAAGGGGGAGAGGAATTAGGATGGATGACGAGGAGGATGACGCTGAGATGGAGGCACCGGAGGTGGGGTAAAAGGATGGCGATAATATGGGTGAGGGAGAGGATACGAAGATAGAAGGAGAGGTAGAGGAAGAGGAGGGAGAGCGGGATAGAGAGGAGGACAAAGAGAAGGACATAAAGAAGGATAAAGCGAAGGATAAAGAGGAGGACAGAGAGGAGGACAGAAAAGAGGAAAAAGAAAATGAGGGAAAAGAAAAGGAGGGAAAAAAAAATAAAGGAGAAGATGAGGAGCAGGAGATGGGGACAGGTTACCGACAGACCACCTCCTTATCCTCCTCCTCCTCCGATAGTTGTGCCCACTATACTGTTTCCCTTTGAACAAGCAGGGAAAAAAACATATTATGTATGCAGCGGGGCTGCACCAGGTCTCCAGGCCTGCCTAGACAACACAAACCCGTACACAATGAAATGACTCACGTTCACTCTTCTTCTACGCGGGTGGTCTTTGTATATGCGGAGCAGGAAGACGATGGCCGACAAGCGTTTGTAGAGAAGGGTTTTGAAAAGATGACGGGCGACAATCGTTTGTAGAGAAGGGTTTGAAAAAGATGGCGAGGGGCAAGTGTATGTAGAGAAGGGTGACAATGATTTAAATGTAATACTTCGCGTTGACAGCAGTGAAGATGAAGAGGAGGAAGACGCTGAGGAGGAGAAAGAAGATGAAGAGGATAAAGAGGGGGAGAGGAATCAGGATGGAATGCTGGAGGACGAGGAGGATGAAAGTGAGGATGAAGAGGAGGATGAAGAGGAGGATGAAGAGGAGGATGACGCTGAGATGGCGGCACATTCAGGGCACACGAACAGTCAGCGAAAGGCTTGTCCAAAGCCGCACCTCGAAAGAAATCTCGAGTTGTTCTTTCTGCCTCCTTTATTCTCTTGTCCTCCAGCTTCCTCCACTGCTTGGCACGTTCAATGTGGTCCAACAAAGCAGTGGGCTTAGCCCCGCGCCTGTCAAACCTGCCGATTAAGGGTTCAAGAACCTCCTTTGTGGTTTGCAAAGGATACAATTGTTCAGTAGTTTTGAAGTCCTTGCACTTCACGCCATCGCAGAAGGTCTTCGCGACGTAGCCAAACTTCTTGACGACCTTGAATTTCCTCTCCATTTCTTCGAGGGAGATCTGTTTGGAGATGACCTCTGTCAAAATAGGGACGATTGCTTCCGGAGGGAAGTTGCCCATCGTAATCCATGGCTGTGCAGGCATGTCTGCCAGCACCATTGGGACTTTGTTGTCCTTTAACTTCAGGTGGAGATTGAAAAACGTCATCTCCTGTTCCCTTGCTGCCGCCTTGTCCAGCCTTTTTCCTTTCTGCGTCTACTTGCCGCCTTCAGATTCACTGGATTCCGGACCGACCTCTGTACGAATCTGGTTCTTTGCCAAAGGCTTCAGTTTCTGGTCCTTCACCTCTCCCCTCTTCCACATCTAAAAAATCTTCAACTGCAGGTCCCAGATCTCTTTCGGACGCATAGCAATCTGTAACAGCGGGTCATTGTTCTGCATCTTCTTCGGATTGATGGGTATCCCATATTCGCGCAGGCATGCTATCTTGACATCAACAATTTTCACATAGCCCTTCCGTTCGAAGACATTGCACTAGCATTTCATCTTTTCGATGAAGTTCATGTCTCTGTGGTAACCAGCTGCCAGATTGTGCTTATGTGCCACCTGCCTTGCTTCATCCGTCGACATGCCCGCATAGACATAGCAGACATTCCAATTATAGTCGTCCTTATCAGGGTAGATCTGGCGCAGGCGTTCTCTCGCCTCCAGGCAATGTCCACCTCCAAGCACATAAATGTTGTAGCCGCCCGATCTCAACCGATCGAGATCCACTTTTGACTTGTCTTTCACATCCTCTGGATCCACGATACCGACGAAGAGAAGATGATCTCCTCTGCATCCACGACACCGACGAAGGGAAGATGATCTCCAGTCGGGCAAGCGATCATGGAGTCCATGAGCGTCGAGACATGATCTTCATAGGGCTCGCGAACCTCCAAAGGCCTGTTTGCGGTCCCATCCACCGGTGGTCTCTTAAGACATTTCATGGGCAGATAAAACGGCTCTTGGGAGATTTTCTTCTGCTGCAAACTTTGAAGTTCGTCCCAGGCCCGTGCCATATCGTCGGTTAGTTCGCCTGGCACGAGACCTCGATGTACTTGCATCTCCTCTTGTGCAACTTTCTCTTTCACTTTCCCAGACGCAGCACCTTTCCCCTTCCCTTTCCCAGACGCAGTAACAATCCCTTTCCCTTTTGATTTCTCAGACTCAGTAGGCTTAGTAGCGCACATCTTCTTTTTTCCAGCCCTCGCTTTCGTGCCCGACCCTCTTTCCAGAGGTCCTGATGACTCCACGCATGTCTACGGGGAAATGACATCAGTCGCAGCCCTCGATCCCTCACTCGAACTCATGTGTCTCGACAGGCCGGGGGTTGCTGCTCCTGCAGGCTTTGGCTGCGGCTTGAATGAAAGAAGAATGCAGGTCAGACGGGGACTTAAGTACTCCGCAAGTTCTTGGAAAAATGTCTTCACACACAAAGCGAAGACAAATGCGTGAAAGAGCAGGTAAGTGAAAGGAAAACACAGTCAAAATAACATTAGAAAAACCAGCAGCAGTGAAAACAGCACCAAACCGACAGCAGCTGCGATAAAGAGCGACAGACATTCGTGCACTGGAGTCCAACACCACAGTGCACCTGAATCGGCTCTTCCAATTGCTACTTTCTTCAAGGACTTCCTCAACTCACTTGAAGATTCTGCATTCGACATGCTTCGCCTCGAAGAACTTGTCTCTTGGGGGCTTGGCCCTTGGTTCCGCAACCTCAGGAAGAGAGCCTACGGCACGGCACCTGCCTACGCCCGCCATCCGTCCCAACCCCTCTCCCCTCGCCCACTCCACTCTCTAGATTACCCGCGGTTCTTCATTTATTCTAAGCATAGAGGGTTCTTTAACTTCTCCTTCCCCCACCCCTCTCAGGAAGACGCTCAGGATGCCGCACAACTCTAGGAACCCTGACTCCTCTTCTAGAAGGAAGAAGTAAAAACCGCTCTGATAGCGACTCTCCTTCCCTCTCCCCTAGTCCTCCCCAACCCCCTCCACTACAACCCTTTCTCCTAGTCTCCCCTCAACTGCCCAATCCCCCCAAAACCTCCCCTCTTACCCCAAAGACTCCGAGACCACGCAGAAAGCCTCGAATCTACAGAAATCTTGACTATGCCCTCTTCGCTCTTATCTTCTTCACCTTCCTTACCCAACTGCTCATCCTCTACCTACCCCTCCCCAGAAGCTTGCCCAAAAATCTCCTCCCCTAATAATTTCGATAATATTCCAAGACACTGTTGAGCCCTAATTTCGGGCTGTGTTTTTCGATTCGGAATTTCAATTCTGGTTTGAATCTTGAATTTGTCTCCACCTCAAAAAAAAAAAAAAAAAAAAAGGGGAAGGGGAGGAAAGTACAGGCATGGAGAAGAAAGCGAGGGGATGACATATGTTGATCTGATCTGTTGCATGCATTTTAATAAGGATCGTTTTTCCTAATTTTCCTCTCTTGAAAATTAATGAGAGGATGTCAATAAGAAGACTATCAATGCACAATTTCTTTGCCAATCCTTATGAACCTTCATCTTACTCTTGGCTATTCGCACTTATGCTTCCCCAACTTTAAATCCTGCTCATACTTATGACAGATGGTATTACCCCTGTCATTCAAGTATCGGGCCACGACCTCAGTAAGATAAAAAACCTCTCTCTTCATTTGACTCCCCTTTCTGAAGGCTCGAATCATTGCTCCTTGAACAGATCAAGTGCCCCTTCCCGCTTCTTCATTCCTACCACTCTCAATCAAAGCTTCCCCTTCTTCATGCATTATCTATCTACCTCCTACTTCCTTTCTTGATTTGCGTGTGCATGTATTCAAAAAAAATAAATAAATCAAGAAAGAGAGATTTAGCTCCCCACTGTCAAAACATCTCAAGGCCAGCCGAGGGATCTGAGTTCCATCAGATTGGTCGGTGCACTGCTCATTCCTATCAATAGAAAGCTCTATTCACATCCTGGTGAAATCAAGACAGTTTCCTCCTTGATAGGATAACGGAAAGCCTGCCGAAGTTGATCGACGTTTTGCTCATCTTATCGATTGGAAACCCTCGCAACTACCAGCAGTGACTTTTATGAACCTTTCCATAGATAAGATAGCTCGAGACCAGCCTCGGGTTGGAGAAAGGGAGGAGGAACTAAAAAAAAAAAAAAAAAAAAAAAGAAGAAAGGAAAACACTCAATGAAGAGTTGTGCTAGCGTTGGTATACTGTTTCACATTCAAATCGAGCAAAGCTCACAATTCCCCAAGATCTGTAAACGGATAAACAAGGAAAAAAGAAGGCAACGCTGTTTTCAGCCGCTCATTTGTAATAAGGAGTTGTTATGCTTGAAGATACTATAGAGAAAAACTGTTCGTAGATGTCTTCAGACCCACATGATTGAAGTTGGGTTCTGATCAAATGTATTGCGCGCATACCTACCTCCATGAGAAAAGACAAAAGCATTGTCTGCAAACTGTTGTTCGGACTATTTACTCTTCTTCCCTTTGTCTGACTTGCAGGTTCACTTGGAAAAAAAAAAAAAAAAAAAGGGGGACAGATGGACTCTTACGTCCTCACTAGTGTACTCGAGAAACTTGTCCTTATGCCTTTCTGCTTTCTTCTTCATTTTTTACATACCGTATCGCTGAACCCCCTCCTCTCAGTCTTTTTTCAAAAGATCCTTGACATCTTTGAGGAACCATAAAAAAAAAAAGAAAAAAAAAAGGGGGAGGAGGAAGGGAGAGGGGGTTGCGGGATTTTAAGTACACAGCATCATCATGAGAAGCACCACACCTCGTAATATTGCCAAGCCTGAGTAGCATCAACTTATGTCACATATTCACCCTTGCTTCTACACATAGATTCTTGGCTACTACCGGGACTCAGACTCTCATTGGCACTGTCATTCTTGACCTCGCTCCCTCCCCTCCCTTAATTTATGTCAAGATTACCTGTTGTCCCAATCCCCATAATCATCATTCTGACCTCATCTTCCTCAGACTTTACCGTGACACCTGTTGTGCAATCAAACAGAACGTCTGTACCTAATCAGACCACAGTTCGTCATCATGAACCTTTACTCCTCTCAGCTCTCCCATCCACCTCATGGAAGCACCCCGCAGCTCTATCTCAATCTACTTGCCTACTGATCCCACCCCTGCTCCCATGCCTCACTTCCCTAATCACTTGTCATCAAAAAAAAAAAAAAAAAAAAAAAGGAAAGGGGTGGAAAAGGGGAAAAGGAAGGGAAGACGACCATTGCCTCTTAGATTGTTGAAATTGTCAAGGCAGAGCATACTGAAAAACTCGGGTTGCAACAATTTCATGCTTGAGCAAATTGCTTCTGACAGCTTGAAGATATGCTCAACTACGCAGATTCAAAAAAAAAACAAAAAAAAAACCTGCAAGAATAAATGACATATTTCAATACCTATCCGCCATGTGGCATGAGCTAGAGTTTGCTCCTTTTTCCCAATCCGCCACGACGAATCAGCCTACAGCTACCTACACGCCTCATTACGAATTAGCTCTCGGTCTCTACCGTGACACCTTAGGCTGTTGTGCAACGAATCAGAACGTCTATACCTAATCAGGCCGAACCTATACTCTTTTCAGCCCCTCTATCCGCCTCACGGAATCACCCCACATGTCTATTTCAATCTACTTACCTACTGATCCCACCCTTGCTCCCATGTCTCCCTCCCTAAAAAAAAAAAAAAAAAAAAAAAAAAAAAAAACGGGGGAGGAACGAAAAAGGAAAGAAAGACGAAAGGAAGAACAATGCCTCGAAGTTTGTTGAATTTATCAACGACAAAGCATACCGAAAAACTCGGGTTACAAGAATTTCGTGCTTGAGCGAATTGCTTCTGATGGCGTTTAGATGTGATCTATCTTATGTCTAAACATCAGCCTACAACTTGATGCTTGCCTACCGATCTCACTTCTGCTGTTTCCTGTCAAATCTACCTGCTTACCACCTGCTTGCCCTACATCTACCTTATATCTAAACGAGCATCTGACTAGAATGCGTAATCAAGCTCCAGTCCGGACAGTAAGAATCAGCAGCATCTCTCCCCAACCAAGATCTCAGAATAAAGATGGAGCAATTATGCTCTAGCACATTGATTAAGGAAACGTAAGACCCAACGAGATTCAGCGAGCATATTTCCCCGGGGTTTTTTCACCTGCCTTGCCTTAAGTTTCCCCTCTCTAAAAAAAAAAAAAAAAAAAAGGAAAAGGGGGGAGACGGAAGTCAAGTAACACAACAATAATCTTCCTATCCTAAGCACCTGACATTCATCATTATAAACTAAGTAGGTATAATACTTCTTCATAGCAGAACTTGGGTCACAATCAAGCCTCAGTCCTGACTTCAAAAAACGATCGGGATCAAGTTTCCGCCACCACCTCCCAACCTTGGATTCTGCCTCAAAGCAACAACCCGAATCAAGTAAGGTTTGCTCTCAACCGTCTCCACTACTTAAGAATCTTCTTAGACTTGTGGCAAGATGTTGTCAGATTAGCAGACTTTCTTAGACATAACTACTGCCTGCATGAGTCTTGTTGACTGCATGGCGATAACTCAGTTGTATTGTCATCGGAAGTCTTCGGTACTGCTCTTATTACTATCTAAATAAAACCTTTGTTTAATCACCCCACTGCGCTTGGTTGCCTCATCAAGATAACGGAACATTGGTTTCAGAATCAGATTGCAGTCATGACAGAAGAAACTTAAAATATTTCACGGTTATTACCATGATTCTATTTCTTGCTTTCCCACCATCACTTCTGTTCTTCATCCTCAGATCCCTGCCTCTCAGCATTGTCTAATCACTCCAAAGCGGTCAGAAGCTTCATCATATTGCAAATGAAATGGAATATCATGAGCAGAGAAGAAAGTGCAGAACGTTATGAAACAAGATCTTAGGCAAGAAGTTGCCGGATTGTCAGACTTCATATTTAAACATAGCTACTGCTTGCATAAGTCTTGTTGTATGTAAGATGATTACATGATGTCATGAGAAGACGTCAGTACTACTCTTACCAACTGATTAAGGTATTTGTTCAAGAACCCCACTGTGCTTGCTTGCCTCATCATTGAAGGGAACATGAATTCATAATCAGGTTGCAGTCCCGACAGAAGGAATCCCGAACTTTACACGGTTCTTAACATGTTTCATTTCGTGCTTTCCCACCAACACTAGCCTCACATCTTTGCCTCCTACCTCCCCTCTCAGCGTTATCTAACCATTCGTTTCCAGAAAAATGGCCAGAAGCATCATCACATTGCAAATAGAATAGGGATTTCATGAGCAAGGAAGAAGGGGCAAAATGTCATCATCATCAAAAAAAAAAAAAAAAAAAAAAAAGGGAAAAAGAGGGAGAAGAACCGTTCAACATTTTTCTGTTCTTACACCCACCCCCATCAACCCCTACTTCCTCCCCTCTCAGACTTTGTCAAACAATCTACTCTGACTTTACTCGGGAGGCAAGAATGAGAGATGCAAGGACAAGCAGTAGGGAAATTAATTAAGTCCAAATCATTAACTTTAATTTCTTGTCATCACAGATGGATCCCTTGCTTCAAGCCTTACTTGCTGCCTCAGGTCCCTATGACCTTATCGGTGCAGAGGTTTATGCCATCTTACCATCTCTACCGCTGCGTTACTCACCTGGGAAGGTTATTGAATGTCTTAACCCCCAGGTGCAAGAAATGGTTCACCTCATGTACCTAGTCCAGCCTGATAACCAATCTGAATCTGTCAAAGTCCACTCCTATGCAATCAAAATGCGCGCACCACCTCTCCCTCCTCCTTCCCCCCCTCCCCCTCCGCCTCATCACCCTCCACCATCAACCTCTACTCCCCAGGTGCTCTCTTTGTCTTCTTCCCCACCTCCACAAGTCACTCTGCAGCACTTTGAGGACTTCAAGCAAGCAATGCTTCGTAGAGAAGAGAACCTCATCAAGCAGCTTCAACTCAGAGAGGAATCAAACCGTGCATCAAATGAGTTGTACCAAAAGATCTACTCCGACCTGAACTTCATCCTCAACGATTTTGCAAAGAGGTCGCCTTCTTCATACAGCGAACTTCGCGCTTGGAAACGCATGCTCTTTTCCCCCTGTTGGCACTCTGAGATAGAAACAGTAATTAGATTCAAAGCAATGAATCTTAATTACTCCTTCTATCCCATGAGGAAAACCATCTGCCACGACTTCCTTGCTCAAGTCCGATCAATCGCCAAGGATTGCGCCGACCACCTCGTCCCACGAGACGTCAAGACTCTGCTCAACAAGATAATGCGCCAAGCCATGGATAAAGCTCTCCCTCTCATTGATGCGGAGTACCACTACTGCCTCAGCCTCGCCCGCCAAGAACAAGCTAGGTAAGCTAAGGGCCGTCGCCCGAACATCTTTATCGTATCTCCCCTGACCGATAGTAGGTCCACGCCATTTGCATGCATGGGGCTCATCCTCTGTTGTATTCCTCTTGCAGGGAGGACCGTGGAGGCTCTGAAGGAAAATCCAATTACCGCAAGAAGGAAGATGACGAGAGAAGTTCATCCTCCAAGCGGGGCCGCGACCACGACCGTGACCGTGGATATGAATACGATTGAGCAGCCAAGAGAATCAACGCCGGCTGGGACACCAAAAGATATGACGGCACCAACAACTCAAAGCTCGAGCTCACAACAAAACCTGACAACAATTGACATCCCCTAAATTCCTGTGATTCTCTCCAACCTCACCTCTCCGCCTTCCACCTCCCAGTTACATCAAGTCATTTTCGCCCTTCAAAACCCCACTTCTTGGCTACGCTTACCCGACAACTTCTTCGCTGCATCACCATCTCGGTCTTTCTCTAACTGGGAGCGCCTCCTCGCTTCATCTTCCTGCCGCTTCTCCCACCCGGTTCTCCAATGGACTAAAACAATTTAAAGGTGGCGTTAAACTCAATTTCGTCGGTACAAGGCATATTCCTACTAGGAAGATCATTGAAGTTAGAAGGATGATGAAAAATGTTCTTCCCTCTTCCCGCTTCAAGGTCGCTCTCTCTAGAATTGAACCACCCCCTGTGGTCATTCCTAACCACAACCTCTTTCCCCATCATTCCGACTTTATCACTTCCTATGTATCCCAACTCCTTAAGTCTGGAGTCATTGAGTTATCGCCTTCCCCAATTGTTATCAATCCAGTGTTTGCAATTGAAAGCTCCTCTAAGACTCGCTTTATTTTGGATGYTAGATTTGTTAACCTTTTTCTCTCTTTCCCCCCCTTTCACTACGAATCCATCAACGATGTTTTCGCCCCTCTCGCGGGCTCCCTCGCTCAAGACTTTCTTTCTTCTTTTGACATAAAAAAACGTTACTATCACATTTCGGTGTTTTCTTCTCATCGACCTTTTCTCGCTTTCAATTGGAACGGCATCTCCTATCAATTCACTACACTCTGTTTTGGCATTTCCACTGCTTGTTGGATCTTCACCACCATAATGCAGGAAATCATGGATGAATTAAGATCAAGGATGGTCCTCATATCCTCCTACATCGACGACTCCGCATTTGCCAACACCAATCTTCCCCTATTAATCTGGCAATAATTCAACTATGTTGCCCTCCTCCATGACCTCAGATTTTTTCTCGGCATCAATAAATTCTCCTTTCTTCCTAGCCAGCAGATCAAATTCCTGGGATTCATTTTGGACGCACACGATAAAAGGATTAAGGTACCTATTGACAAAGCACAAAGAATCCTCCATCTTATTTCAACTTTAGACTCCTCCCCCCCTTCCAGCTGAACTTTAGCCAAGGTTGCCGAAAAACTCGCCTCCCTCTCCCGGGCTTTCTCACCAACCCCTCTCTTCCTCTCTTCATTATACGACTCCATATCACCTTCCAATTGGGATTCCCCTTTGCAAATCTCTGACGCTCTCATCAATGATCTCAAATGGTGGACCAACTACCTTCCTCTCCTTCCCGGAAAACTCTGGATCTTAAGAACCCTTTCCCTCTCAATCTTCACGGACGCATCCGCCTCTCAAATCGCCGGATTAATAGAACCAATCGGTGGAAGCCCCATCATCTTCAACGAATGTCTTCCCCAACACCTCATTTCATCATCCTCAACTTATCGTGAACTCTTTGCTATCCTTCGAACCTTCTCATTCATCGAATCCAAGTACCCCCATCTCCTCTCATCATCTTCCATAAGACTGTACTCTGATAGTCAAGCTGCAAACGCCCTTTAATCCAATCTCTTGTCCTCTGACCCCTTCTTCAATCCTTGGCTCAGGCAACTAATGGCCATTCTCCTTATAGCTGACGCCCAACTTCATCCAATCTGGATTCCAAGGGATCTCAATCATTTGGCTGATACAATCTCTAAAACAGAAGATAATTCTGACTGGGGACTTGCAGACCATGGACGCATTAACATCTTTAAGGCATTGGGTGTACCTGCCATTGACGTATTCGCATCTGACTATCACCACGTCTCAGCTACCTTCATCTCAAGAACATGGTCTCATCAGATATTTCTGATTGACGCTCTTTCTATCGATTGGAACACCCTCCCTTCCTCATCTTACAGATGGATTTTTCCCCCGACAGCAATCATGCACGATGTTATCTTCTTGGCCCAAGCAAGCCCAACATCTTACCTCCTTATTCATCCATCCTCTCAAAGGACAACTTGGTACCCCAGACTAGCCCAACTCAACATCACCGCCTCTTTCACCATTCCTAATTTCCCACTATCTTGCGTTCGTAGCCCCAGGGTCCACCAGTTTACCCCGAACCCCGCTAAATGTGGGCTAACAGCCTCCCTCTTCACTACCTAGTCTTCTCCTGTCTCCTTGTCCTCCTCCCCATTATCCGTCTCCCCTACCGTGCACTTCCACCCATGACGCATTCCATATCCATATCGCATAAACGTTCCTACACTACTCCACGTCCCCTGCTTCATCATCTCCCCCAAACTCCAACCTTCCTTAATCCCTGCTTGAACACCCCCTAGCCGAAAACTGTGACCGCTCTCACCTTCATACACCCCGGCCTCACCAAACCACTTCTCCATCCGCTTATTGAAACCCGCTCTTCCTAATGCACCTTCCCCCCTCCCAGATCTAAACGCATACCCTCGACGAATATCTACCCCCAAGCTCTCATAAACCGTAATTACCTCTGGCAATATCCCAAGGAATATTTCCTCGTCATCTCTGGGCTCTTTTAATCTAATAAGGAATCGTTCCCCCTGCCCATCAGCCTTAGTATATCCAGGCCTCACCATGCAATTGCCAATATCTATCTCCTTATACTGCACCCTTAATCCCTCCCCGCATCTCTGCCAACTTTCACAAAGATACAAAAACATAGCCGCATCCCGATAAGCCTCTGCCTCACGCATCTTCTTCAGCATTATGATCTTACTTCGCATGTAACCTATCACCACTTTTAGTTTCTCCCACTTCAATGGTCGCGCAATTACCCCCCTGGATAACGCATATTCTCGGTACGCCCTTCGGAACGCCTTCACTCGCCCACTTTCACACGGATCATTCTCCCTGCCAAGTAATCGAAAACTGTTGCTCAAGCAGTTTACAACAGCATCCACTGTCGCAGGAGATACCATGGGCTCCCCTTCAGCATCAGCAGTTCGGCATCGACTCTCTATCTCAACCAGCCACTGGCTACTTAAGAAGGAGAGAATGTCCAAATCACTACACTCCATGAAGCCATGACCTACGTCGTTCCGATCAAGCCACTCGTTAAGACCAAGGAGAAGCTTCTTCATGCCATTTCGCCATCGCCGCCCAGGACCAAACTCTTCAATCAAGGACCTACTCCATTCAAGGTCTGCTTCGTACCTTCCTGCTATCTTCGGAGTCGCTCGCTTTTGACGCCAGCTTCCATCACTCATTCGCTCGTTCCACCATTCCCTGCAAGATTCCGTTGTCACTTGCGGTACGTTGGAGGGATGTGGATGGTCTAGGAGGTGTGTGGGCCTGCGGCTCCTTCTACATGACTCTCATCCCAGTGATGTGGCGTCATCGGCGGCTTGACCTTTTCCTATTTTATCTGGATTTGTCCTGCGCAGGAGCTGTCCTATACCTGCCTTTCTGGTTGGGGAGCAGTTTGGTCGGTTTGTAGAGGTCACTACCTCAACTCACGGCCTCAGGGGACCCCAACTGTCTTTTCAATAGTACCCCTCACAAGCAAAAAACTCCCCACGGTTCTTTTTCTGCATCTACGGTTGTCCCTGTTTGACAGTTTCTCTTCCATCTGGGCCTCCTAGATCTACGGTAAGATTGTGCTTTCTTCAGGATCTGTGTTGGGACAAGGAGTTGAGCAGGACTCACCCTGGATGCAGTAGGGCCTCGTTGGGCCGACCGCTGCCACTTCCTTGCGCAGATACAGTATATGTAACCGGCTGAGGACCGGTCGCTGCAGGTTGTGAAGACTCGCGCGGTGTGCCCTCCGCAGCTCGACCGCCAGCCGCTGCGCTCATTGCATACGCGAACCTGTCACATCGCACACAGCAGTCAGCCACTGGTTGGGAAGAGAGCTTGTTTTCCCTCGCCGATTTTGGCAAAACGGTCCCGCCCACCCATCAAGATTCCCGCGGTGTGTGGGCCTGCGGCCCCTTCTACATGACTCTCATCCCAGTGATGTGGCATCATCTGCGGCTTGACCCTTCCCTATTTTATCTGGATTTGTCCTGTGAAGGCCTGGACTTTAAAAAAAAAAAGGGAAAAAAAAAAGCAAGGATTGACAGTAAAAAAAGGGAAAAAAAAAAGAAAAAAGAAGAGTGCCAGAAGCTGGCCAGTGCTGTTGAGAATTCACTTGGCTCGAAGTGCCAATGCTTTCACCCTGGCGCCCCAGGGACAAGCGAGCAGTGGCTTTCAGCGGGGGGGCAATCACCCACCTCTGGCAGTTCCGTCACCACTGCAACGACTCTTTGCTATAAAGTGACGCAGCCCGCATTTGAAGGGTAGGAGTATCGCGGAGACGAAACAGTAGTGCTATGCAGCGAGGCAGCCGGCGTTGCAAGGGCAGCAGACGGCACGCTTGGTGGCAAGTGGAAGTTGCGTCGCACCCGTTCTCTGCAGTGTTGTCGAGCGGCATCTCTTCATCCCCGTTCGCGCAGTCCATTGGTGGACGAGACTTGTGGTAAATTGCGGTGGGATTGCTCCGCGGGTTTGGTCGCTGAGATCGGTGTTTGGTGCCGAATTACTGTGCGTTTGATCGGTATCTTGGGAGGTAGTTGATCGAGTGCTGTTGTTACGAGCATCATGGCTCTCGTGAGCGGTAGTCTGCGGCAAAGCCACCGGCGCGCCAACTGGGCAGTAGTCTGCGTTGGGCTTGTCATCTTGGTCAGCGTCGCGCAGGTGATGGCGATAACGACCGGGACGTCTGCATCAAAGGGACAGTTTGAGTATGGGAGGCCATACGATGTGGCAAAGACGGACGGTGGATCTTTGTCGTTGTGGTCGGAGTCGTTTGAGGAATTGACGAAGCATGGTGCTCACATCGTAGCTGGCCATCTGACGCTGGAGGCGAACGGGTTCGCCCTCCCTGCGTATGTGAATTCCCCGCAGATAGTCTACGTTCTCGARGGTGAGATAGTSAATGATGCTCTTTGACCAAACGATGTCTCTCTCAGTTTTGAGTTGACGAGCTASTCTGCTTGGTGAATGTGGYATGGATATAGKTATTCGTTGTTYCAGCSTGTTGCTGGTCMGTGCGTTAGTGCTATCTTTACGCTCCGTGCTTGCGTCGTTGAATTGTTTAGCTGGCTAGTTTCTGTCCGTGGTGTAAGTGTCTTCCGTGTTACGGATGTTCGGGCTGAGTATTTTCGCGTTGCAGATTGCCGTTTCTTGACGAAGTGTTAACCTGTTATGGACGTGTGTGCTGACGATTTGTCCGTTTACCTGGCTAGTTTCTGTCTGTTGTTGAAGTCTGTCCGTTGTTTAAGTGGCTTCCCTGTTGCGGATGCTCAGCCTGACTAATTGGTTTGTGTTGTGGACGTGTGCGGACGATTTGTCCGTCTTGCTGAATTGAACATCGACAGAGAAGTTTTTATGTACGAAGGCAATTACAAATGTGGCTCCTGTTGTTCCGTCTTGCTGAATTGCTGAATGGAACATGGATGGAAGTTTCCTTGTTATGTACAAAGCTGGGCTACCAGCCGGGCCGCCCGGGTCAGAAAAATAAACCGAACAACGTTTACAAATGTGGCTCCTGTTGTTCCGTCTTGCTGAATTGCTGAATGGAACATGGACGGAAGTTTCCTCGTTGTTATGTACAAAGCTGGGCTACCAGCCGGGCCGCCCGGGTCAGAAAAATAAATTGAACAACGTTTGCCTCAGTGTCACATCGAAATTCATTACCAAATTAAAAATTAAGGTTGAGTTAAAATATAGTTTTTATTTTTTTTATTTTGATATGTTTTTGGCCGGGCGGGCCGAGTGGCCCCGGGCCACTATGGTAGCTTAGGTACAAACGGGTTCGTCTTGCTGAATGATTAATTGCGTGTTGTGGATGTGGGGGCTGACGATGGGTTCGTCTTGCTGAATGATTAAGTGCATGTGGTTCTCCTGTTTTGGATGTGCGGCTGACGGTGTGGCCTATGTGCGGCTGACGGTGTGGCCGCCTTGTTGAAAACGACATTACGGTGTGTTAAGTGAATCCTATTGTGGATGTGCGGGCTGACGATGGGTTCGTCTTTGTGGCCGCCTTGCTGAATACGACATTCACGCAGGAGGTCTGGCGCGTTGTTGGCATTTTTGCGAATGCTGTAGGGATTTTTTGTGAATGCGTCTGGTGTTCTTCAAGCCGGGAAACGTGAAATGTCGACATGAAGAACACTATGAGAGAGACATTTTCTGAACTTGGAATGGGGGTCAGAAAGGCCGCCAGGAACTTCTCAAGATGGTGCAGGGGTTTTCGGAAGGCCTGGATCCTCATGTTTTCGTGTATCCGTCGGTGTACATCACAAAGCACTCTCGTTCTGCATTTTAAGTTGTGATCTCCCGAGCACAGCCCCCCCTAAGCCTGAATGTATGAGCTATCAGCCCGGTCCAACACCTATCCGTCGGTGTACATCACAAAGTTTCTCATCCTTTAAGCTATGATCTCCCGAGCACAGCTACTTAAGCTTGAAGGTATGAGCTATCAGCCCGGTCCAACACAGTCAAGGTGAGGGTGAGTTGTGTTGGTTCTACGGCATCCAGAGTGAGAAAATGAGCGTCGATGAGCTCGTTGAGCGTGAGGCGTGCGGAGTGCATAAAGCTACCGATCCTTTGGTGGCGGTCAAATGGACGTAGAAGCTGACCGTATTGCGAATAACTGAGTAGGTATGGTTGAGTGATTTGTAGAGGTGTGGTTGAATGATGTGTCTGACGTGGTGGTTGAATGATGTGTCTGACGTGGTGGTTGAATGATGTGTATGACGTGGTGGTTGAAGGATGTGTATGACGTGGTGTTTGAATGATTTGTATGACGTGGATCCCTTTTTGGCTGGTGTGTATGACGTGACAGGTTCGGCCCATGTCGGTCTGATGACGCCGATGGGCATTTCTGCGGCGATCCAGAGGATCAGCGAGGGGGATGTGGTAGTGATACCACGTGGATGGGCTAGTTGGGCGTGTAACCGTCAGGAGAGGCGGTTTAAGGCGCTCTTCGTGGCTGATTTATCTGAGCATGCGGGCATCTCTGCCAAGGAGAGTGTAAGTGTGACCGACAGTCTTGTGCATGTTGTTTGACATTTTCTGTTTTTCAGTCGGCCACCCACACTTTTTGTATGCTCATGCGACGGACAGTTCGGACTGGGAGTTCGGTTAGGTCAAAGAGGTTTTCCGTTATGCTTGTGAGGCGTGCATTTGTTTTTTTCGGTCGGCCCGATGGAACGTCTCTCGGTTGTTTTAAGTTTTGACTATTTCTTTCACAGTTCTTGAGTTTTTCGTGTTGTCGCTTTTGCATCTTTAGTTATGATCCCTGACGCTTTTGCATCTTTGTAATGATCCCTGATGTATAGTACGCCACTGTAACGCCAGTACTATGTGGTAATTTTGGATTATGCATGTGACACTGGGTGAGACCATGGTAAGGCTATTGCTAATTGTTTGCTCGGTCGGCGGAGTCTGTAGCTAGTTATGAGCGGAGCTGCGGAGGCATCACATTTGTCTTACGCTGGTACTTGAGAAATAGTACTCTGTCAGAGGTGTTTTAAACATGTTTGAAGCTGTGAGCAGAATGACACAGCGGTTTTCTGTCAGGAATCCTGCTTTTTCGTTTTTTGCTGCTTCGCACGGCTTGATCGATTGTGCATGCGTCAGTTTGTTTGGCTCTGATAGTTGATGCATATGGGTCGGTTTGTTTGGCTCTGATAGTCGCCGGCTTGATGCATATGGGTCAGTTTGTTTGACTCTGATAGTCGCCGGCTTGATGCATGGGTTAGTCTGCTCGTGATATTAAGTTGACCAGTCGGCGTCAGTCTAGTGATTGGAAGTTGACCAGTCTGCGTAAAGGTGTCTGTCTCTTTGGCACGAAGTTTGTGAGAGTTCAGCGGAAGACGTTACCGAACAGTTAACTAATGGGCTTGGAGATGGTTTTCTTGGTATGGATGTCTCGCTGTTTTGTTCCAGTCCTTCGCGCTGGCTGGCTCCATGAAGGACTTGGGGGAAGGCTGGCGGCAGGGCAGCGTCCTGCACGGGTTTACGAAGGACGTGCTGGCAGCGGCGTGGGATGTGGAGGAAAGGGATGTCGAGAAACTCCTGAACTCTCAGAGAGAAAGCGTGATAACGAAGGTATGCTGTACTGAGGTCTCAGCTTTGGTTAAGTACGATTTGTCAGTAGTTGTGGTCTCATCTTTGGTTAAATACGATGTGTCAGTGGTTGGGATTTTTTATGTGCTAGTGGTGTTCACACCTCTTTTGCAGGCACATATGGTTAATAGGCGAATGTCGTTTTCGGCGAATTTTTCACCGAAAATGCTTATTTCCCCAAATAGGTGGTTTTCTTTTTATTTGCTTTTTTGTGTGATACGTACGTGCTTTAGGGTACATCTGTATTCAATCCCTGCATTTGGACCGTTAATACATCTGTATTTCAATTTCGATGCATTGGGACCGTTAATAGAGAAGTTGTGAAAAACACCGAATTCAGGAAAAAAAATTGGCCAACTCCGAAAGCTACATAGTAGGGTTTTATGGTGCTTTTAGTTTTTGCTCTTCGTTTTTTCTTGCATGTTTTGTTTTTTTAATGTTTGAATTACGAGCTTGCATTGTTTGTTCGCGAAATTTTTGACGACATTGCTTGTGGTGGTGCTGCGAAAAGCCCGGAATTTTCGGCCCATTGATCTTCTCTCAAGATTAGAGTTACGAGTTCCCGCCGTTTCTATTCAGCCGTGAGTTCCCGCCGATTCTATTCAGCCGTCCTTCCAGGCTCTTGCTCCTTCGTTGTCCCCTGACGTGTCTCCGTATGTACTTTGTATGAGTTGTATGCCAAGAGTTCGAAGTCAATGGATTGGAATGTGTTTTATGCATAAGCGTGAAAAAACGACGCGTCGAGATTGAAGACAATTGTTTTGCTAGTGGTGTGTAGGACCTGGGGTTTATTCAAGTTTTGTTTTCATTCTCCTCTCTCGCACAGTCCCTTTCGTTTCGGACCATTTCTCGATGATTACTTAAGGCGCTGATCGTCGAGCATCCTGTAATAGGGAGAAAAAATGCTGATCGTCGAGCATCTTGTAGTCGGGAGTCAAATCGGCTGATCGTCGAGCGTCTTGTAGTCGGGAGTCAAATTTCAGAATATGAGGACGGGTTGTGAGCTCATTAAGACGGATCTTGCAATTGACAAACGTGACCACCGTAATGTGATTGTCGACTTTGGCCAGAGACGAGTTCCCCTTTGTTGCGCGTGAGCGTAGAATTACATGCTTTTTTTTTTTTTTTTTTTTTAAAGAATTACGAGCGTTTCCGTACTGCGGGTCATCCTCTTTCGTCTCCCTGAGCCAAGGATATTGTGGTTTTCTTAAATTTGTCTTAGACAGACGGGTAATGGCTTCGGTATCCATGTTTGGGCGCGGTTCTCAGCACGTGCTGTTTTTTTTTCGTGATTGTTCGCCAATTTCTTTGACGACGATATTCAAAATTTTTGGAATCATTTAAGATTGAGAACTGCTCCCCACGACTGGATGGGAGCAATTGTGAGAAAAAAAAAAGCAAAGACAGATCGTGTGGAGCGCGGGTGTTGCCGTGGACTGGGGCGTCTTACTGAACGCTCGGAGATTTGTGTGTAGTTCGTGATTTACGAGCGTGTGAAGTTTGTGATTTTGAGCGTGTGGTAGTTTGTGATTTATGAGCGTGTGTTATATATTGGATGCACATGTCTATCGTGTGGTAGTTTGTGATTTATGAGCGTGTGTTATATATTGGATGTGCATGTCTATGGACATCAGCAGTGGTGGAGGTTTTGTGTGATGTTTGTAGTGTGCAATGGAGGGTTTCGCGACTGCATTAATGCTTAATATTATGTTCTTCGAGACGTCCCTTCAAATTGGAGCGATACCGGAGCGGGATCCCTTAAAGATGGGGATATGCGTTAGCCGATAAATTGTGGACCGCTTTTTGTATGTACTACATGATAGAAAGAAAGATGAATGTCTTACATTGTAATTTACGTGGCTGGTTGGATGTGGTGACTCCCTGATCCACCGATGACTCCCTCATGCACAGGTTTCACGGGAGGCAGCGGAGTCGTACGTCTCGTCGGAGCCGTCGGCGGCTGGGTTTGTAGGGGAGTTCATCTACAGCTTGAAGAATTCGCAACCGGATGTCTTTAACGAGGGGGGCGAATTCCATCTCGTCAACCGCAACAAGTTGCAGACGCTACACAAATATGGCACGGACTTCGCTGTGGCCTTTGCGAAATTGAATAAGGTACTTACAATATGGGCCATGGGATGTAAGGGGATATGGTTTGGTTAATTTTTGTGGAGTCGGATGGCAAGATACCCTACGCGGAAAGGGACGTAAGGTCGGCAGCTCTTAATCTGTGTGGGAATAGTGCGGTTCGAGTAGCCATTTTATTTGCTTGGGGGATGGGGTTAGGGTCGGAGGTAGTAGTTCAGGTGAGGGAAGGGAAGGTGTATTTTTGGAGGCGACTGTCTGGAAAGATGAAGAAAACATACAGAGCAAAGCAAAAAAATGAACAGGAAAAAGAGGGGGGAATGGTTGATATGGATATGAAATTGTGGAATTCGTGCGTCGTTCACGGTTGTTTAATGGAATAAACGATGGTTCATCTTTAACCATAACGAGGTAATGGCTTCGACTGTTCATCCACACCTGTCTGTCAGGGTGCGAAAAGCGTTTAACTATGCAGTGTGTAAGGTTACGGTTGTTTAATGGAATAAACATTGGCTTTTGGTTCTTAAATTTATTGGTGTCTTCTATCAGGTGATGGGCCGGACTCTTCTTTGTCCACAAACGTCTCTCAGGGTGCACACCCGTCTCTCAGGGTGCGAAAGGTGTGTTGATAAATAAGTGCGGAACGTGGAATGCTGTCTTGTTGCGGAACGTGGAATGCTATTGATTGTCAAGTTACGGTTGTTTAATGGAATAAACGTTGCGTTTTTTTTTTGGCCATCCCGGTGATGGTGTTTTTGGGTCCAGACCTGTCTCTCAGGGTATGAAACGTGTTCATAAGTGATGTTGTGAAGTGAGCAGTCTGTGTTTCTCCTATGTTTTTGTGTGTGTGTGTGTGTGTTTGCGGAACGTGGAATGCTATTGATTGGCCAAGTTACGGTTGTTTAATGGAATAAACGTTGCGGTTTTTTTTTGGCCATCCCGGTGATTGGTTTGATTCTGGGCCCAGACCTGTCTCTCAGGGTATGAAACGTGTTCGTAAGTGATGTTGTGAATTGAGCAGTCTGTATTTCTGTGTGTGTGTGTGTGTGTGTGTGTGTGTTCCACAGGGAGCAATTGGCGCGCCGGGATGGTGCGTTAACGCGCACCACATCGTGTACTTCACTAAGGGCAGTGGACGATTTCAAATTGCACATCCCGACGGGAGTAATGCTCTGGACGCTCACGTTCGTGCTGGATCAGTGATCGTCGTGCCGCGTTTTCATGCAGCAGTCGTGGTACGTTTTTCTTCTCTTGGGTTCTGAGGGTAAAATATTCTCTGACAATTTCCGACGTTGAGCAACGACTCTCGCACTGATAAAAGGGATTTGGTCAGTGTTTCAGTGGAGAGTTATACAAGCGACTTTATGATGTAGAGTGTGCAGTCGTTTCCATTCCTTGGGGGCGTTTACGTTGTTGCCCCGAATAGAACGTACGGTCATAGCTTCACTGGGAGCAAATTTCATACAGTACAGCGATGATGACCGTGTGTTCTACTCGGGAGATTTTGGCATAAGGAGTCGATCTAGTTGTTTGCCTTAAAGAGTTGATCTATTACCTTTGGACACACAGTTGGTTGTTTCTCGTATGTGGCAGGCGGATTATCATAACGGTTGTGTTTTCATTTCATTTTGGACACCATGCATGGCTGGGTTGTGATGCCCACATGAAGAGAAGCCTTACAAATGGAAAGAACCATCCGTAGCGGACCACGCGTCTGGGGTTGATTCTTAATCCCCTGACGTTGTCCATTAATTTGTTGCGGACGGGGCATGGTGTCACCTTGTTGATTCTCGTATGTCTCTATATATGCATGTGGGTTTCAGTGCCTTTTATTCATTGCATAAGGTGTAAGCAGAGTTTTCTATGTAGTGAATATGTAATAGATGGTAGTGATATGACGCGATTTTGAATATTTAATTTCTATGTTCGTTCATAAATGACGTTGTCGTCGTGAGGCTATGCGAAACAGTAACAGCGTGGTGGTTATTTGAGGTGACGAAGTGAATTAATAGGATAGACTGGGAAGCGAYGGTATGGGGGAAGACGTTCACCAGTGAGACAATTAAGAGGGCCGCCTATGGCCGGTGGTGTGACGATGAAGGGCAGGGTGTACGCATCCAGTCTGGCATGCACTGATTTGTCGTAATGGCTKGAGCCTGGAAGTAGAGAATTGACCTATGGTAGTGTGGGGACGTGCACGTTTGTTCTTACTAGCACTTCGCTGTTTGTGTGCAGTTGGCTTCGAAAGAAGAGGAGCTGGAGTACGTGGTCGTCTCCACTTCCTCGCTGCCTATTTGGGTGAACATGGCCGGTCAGAACTCCGTGTTTCAGAATATGCCTGCGACGGTGGTGAAGGAGGCTTTCAACATTTCCGAGGACCTTTTGGAGAAGCTGCGGCACCGCAGAACCTCACACTCGATCATACTGCCTGCGCCCACCACTTCTGAGCAGAAGCAGCGCGAGCCGGTGGAGGCCAAGAAGCCATCGCAGGGCCTGCCATACGCGTTCATGTGACTCGTGTGAGCATAGACGGACCCCCTTGAGAAGGCGCTGATCGTAGAGGTACATTGAGGTTGCAGTGCCAGAAGCAGCACGAGCAGGTCGAGGACAAGAAGCCATCACAGGGTCTGCCATGCGCATCATGTGAGCATGGGCGGACCCTGGAGACGAGAACTGTGCTTATAGAGCCTCGTTGAGGCTGTCGTAGTGCCCGTTTCATGTGAACGTGGACCAACACAGTTTCTGCGTCCCCGTGAACTGCCAGTGAAACAGCAGTGCGAGGGAGAAAACGTATGACGTTGCCGCACTGTGAAAGTGTAAATTAGGGAAACTCTCTTTGTCAATGGACGTGAATAGACTGGATGGTGCAGAGCTACTTGCTCGATGATGCCTTGGCTTGCCGACACGGAGACTCCTGCTAGGAAGCAGCAAGACTGGGAGGGGCAGAGAAAGCCAGTCCAGTGCGAGTCAGTGAATCCCTGTTAGTGAAGGTCACAGTGACCATGAGCAGACCACGTTTGTTTTACTTGATGAGGATGTCCTGTGCAATGGAGTACTCGTTCGTGGATGATTTTGACGACAGGAAGGTGGATTTTAGATGAGGTATTAGGGCAGAATGTCATTTGTCGGGAAGGCTTGTAGAGATGGCGAGTAGTGTGCAGCAGATGCGAGTGCCCTTGAGGCCCGTTGAGGGAGCTGCGTTGTTCTCATGATGTATGAATGCCTGAGGCCCGGAGTTTAGCAGATTGTAAAATAAAATAGGCGGGTCGTGTGAACGTTGGCAGAGGTGATAGCGGAGCGGGTGGTCATTGTCATGCTGTTTTGGGTCCTTCCCCCTCTGTTAGGTGGCGTTGACAGCATTGTCTCTTGTGTTAGGTTTAGCAAATTAGCAGTGCGTGTTAGATGGGTTCGTATCCCCTTACCGTTGGGGCAGGAGTCGTTAAATTCATCCGCATGTCAGCATTGTCCTAATCAGCCTCTTTTGTCCTGTAACTTGTGGGTACCGAAGGATCCGAAGGATTGACCGGATCCAGTTCGTTCAGGTCCATCTCAGCAAGATCTGTGGTTGGCAAGAATCTGGGTCCATGTTAGCAGTCAGCGGCCTCGATCTTTTACTTCCTCATGATAGTGGCTGACACTGGTAGACCGTGTGACTGAGATAGTGAAGCACACACGTAGAGGGGGAGTGTACAGTAGTTGTTCGCTGGAGCATTCAGGATGATTCAGCTGCCCTAGTCTTTTACATCATGATAGTGTACAGTAGCTGGTATCTGGAGCATTCAGCTGCTCATGACAGCGAGTCCGACACTCGTTTAACTGTTAATAAAACAGTGATGCAGACATCTTGTGGGTAGAGTGTACAGTAGTTGGTCTCTGGTTACACGGGGGCTCTGGTTACACGGGGGCTCTGATAGACTGTGATAGTAGGTACACGGGGGCTTTGATAGTATGCAGTGTAGAAGTAGACTCGGGGATTCTCAACGAAAAGTGCTTTGGATGTGTATCTCGTAGTGTTATGAGAATTGCTTGCATATAAAATGGTATTACGTCTGACACGATTTCGTGTGAATGTTGTCTTTGCTTGTTTGCGAGGTGTCTGTTTCCTCATCCTAGCTGCTTGATTGTGATCTTGCCTGCTTCATTCCTGCTTCATTCCGCCCTTCCCTCCCCTTCGCCCCCCCCCCCCCCCCCCCCCCCCCCCCCCCCCCCCCCCCCCCCTCCCCTCTCTCTCTCTCTCTCTCTCTCTCTCTCTCTCTCTCTCTCTCTCTCTCTCGCTCGCTTTTATGACCCGTGTTGTGTGAAGTTGCTGCGGTCTTGGCGTGATGGTGATTCGTGAATATGATTACATCTCGTGTTTGGCGCCAAATTGTTTAACTAAGCCTGTGAGCTTCATCAGTCGGTGGAAAGCGAGGTGGCATGTAGGAGACGATAGGGAGGTTTAAGGGTTTAACGGGGCTCAAGTGTTCTGGATGCTCTGGATATGTATCTCGTATTGTTATGAGAATTGCTGCATATAAAAAGGGATTAATAGCAAAAATATTGCTATTTCGAAGTTTGGCAGCAAAGAATGTCGTCCGTTCGAAGTTTCCTTTATAAAAATAGAGGTTTCGTTGCAGCTTTATCGGGTTCCCATAGTTTGCCAGCAAAAATACCACGTTTTGCCCAGTTTCACAGGAAAGGATCCCTAGGCCTCTGGCATCAGGGACTCAGGGACTCAGCGTTTTGTCTTCGCGCATGGCCGATGCATCTGGGCGTGCCCACGGCCGAAATGCCTCGGCCATGGCCGTGAAAAAAAAAGCAAAACGTGGCCGAGGCATCTCGGGCGTGGCCATGGCCGAGATGCCTCGACCATGCCCGTGGGAAAAAGAAAAAAAGGGGCAAGTACGTTTGTGTCACAAACGAAGTTCAAAAGGGCAAAAAAAACAATAATGGGCAACGAAAAAATGGCCGTAGTTCGAAAAGGCAGTCATAACATCAGAAGGTGGTAACATCAGGCCCCGAGTTTGAAAAGGGCGGTTGTAGCACAATTTCCTTTTTTTTTTTTTTTTTTTTTTTTTTTTTT